AGATTCAAGATATAAACTGAAACGAACATGAACGTCGTTGAATTTCATATTGTGGGCATTGTGAAATGAAGTTTACTCATTGTACTAGTCGCCCACAAAAATGTGCAGAGTAGTTGTCAAACGTCTAGCATGTTTGATCATGAATTGTATCAAAATTATTAAGTTCCTCTAGTGATAATTTTAAATAATAATTCAGTCATAAGTGAGTAAATCCGATTAAAAGCAAAATAAGATGTAGACTTCTACTCGAATATCTGTTAACAAGTTGCGATCCTGCCTTGACGTACGGTAGTGAATAATTCGACAGAAGAGCTTCACTGCTTCCGTTGAAATTCAGATTCGAATACTGAGAATGTATAAGGTTTAGTATATAAAGCCTTGTTATAATTGATATCGATGTATTGTGGTCTTGATGGTGCCGTCGAACATTTCAGAATGGAGAAACTATTCAGATTTCCAGAAAAAATAGGAATTACTGAATGCCGTGGGAACCTGAATCGTTTTCAGTAAATTTTCCGTACATGTTTTCACTCATAATAAAGCTTCGTTATGAAGTCTTTGTTACAATAAAAAAACGTTTAAGCGTTTCTTAGGCCGTAGGCCTGTCGCCGACTCTTAACATTGCAGAACATACTCAGCTTGTTGCGGGCTTGAACTCGCAACTCACTGCTCCAAATTTTCTTTGCTTAACTGCCCGGCCTCCTTGCCGATTCTGACCAGAAACTGGCGCACAGAGCTGGGATCGAACCCGCGCCTCTCTGCTCCAAACTTGGTACTCTGAACTGTAACCGCTGGGCCACCCTGTAACCACGAGTGGACTAATTAAAGATATCTCATCTTAGCAGATTATAAACCATCTATTTTTGCACAGTCATCAAATTGAATTTTCTTCCTTTTAATCTTTTACTGCTCTTTTCGGCATTTTCAATAAATCGAACTTAATTTTTCGTAAGCGTGGGTTGATTGAAAATTGAAATTCAGGTTTCCGAATGATATTTTAATGACGTTTCATATGTATAAACATTCAGCATTAAGGTGGAAGACGCATTGAGTGATGGAACTTGGATGGACATAAGTACAAAATCATGTAAAAAATATAACGGTCGAAAATTGGAGCCCAAAAATTATTGCGGAAACAAACTCAAATTCGGACAAATGTTATGTTGTATCTGATGATGATCTGTATTTTTATGTTGTATCTGATGATTTTTATCTTGTAATCAAGTCATATCCAGTTTAAAGTAAGCGATAAATTTTGGGTGGGATGAATGTTGTAATACGCGCCTTATTCCTACATGAATAAAGTTCATATTCAGATAACCGTGAGACGTTAGATGGTCTGGCTTCAACACCGTATCAGTCTCAATGTATCCGTCGAGCTGAAAGGTTCTAACCACTGCCGTTATGTAATGTAAGTTCCCTGCCACGTATATTACTGATTATAAATCAGTTTTGTTATTGTTTCTGTTGTTGATTATATTTGAGTTGCAATTAGTTAATTAGTATTTGATATCTGTTACTCTTATTCCAGATATTTGGTCATTTGTTGGAATATTGCTTGGATTGCCAAGTCTTTCTTATTTTACTACATGGACAATACAGATGTGACTGTGAGAAAACTTAGCAAGCACGTCACATTTTATGCAGGTGAGCAGCTTGGACATCTCCTCCGTGAATTACCATTATACATTATGACAGGATTTCATGTGATTTTGATACATTGGCCTCTATAAATAGTTCTATGCATCATGATTTAGAGCAAATGATGACCTTATGACGAGTTTAGGACTTCGTAGTCCAAGGTCAACCTGATGCGCTTATACCAAATTGCAGAATTCTACTTAATAGCTCCGCACCTATCTTTTCAGAGATAGGTGCAGTGAGCGTCAAAAATAATATCTTATAAATTGGGAGGGTTGCTAATCATAGAAGCAGCTGCGTGCACAGCTATCCACTATGACTGAGCATGCGTGTATTCGAGCGTTTTTTAGCTATGACTAAGCTATTTCACAACAGAAGCCAAACTCCAGCCGTCATTGTCAACAGTAAGTATATTCATTACCCGTCATCACAAAGAGCACATACATCACGTATGTATGTGCTCTTTTTGATGAAACTTATGCCTCGTTTTCCTTATACAGTTCGTACTCGAATACGAAAGATTCGTACGGCGAGTCGAAAGGTTCGTACGGCGAATCGAAAGATTCGTACGGCCAATATAGCAGATAATGTCCAGTATTCCTCGAATACTTCAGAAATTTTGACCCCTCTAAATAAGTTTCGGTTTTCACCGTTTCAATCAACGGCTATATTTTTCGATAATCATAAATAATGCATATATATAATCTGTTATGACAGATGATTCAACGATTATTAGATTAGGTTCATGATTTCCCCTGAAACGAACATGGACGTCGTAGAATTATCAAAATATTATGGAATGGAGTTTTCAACTGTTATAGTCACCCACAAAAATATGCGGCATTGAAGAGAATAGGCCCATGGCCTGTTGCCGATTCTTGAATTTTTCGTGACTTGATTCACAAGGGATCTGGCCTTTGGAACCCGATCTTTCCATAACTGACGATTGTGTTGGTTCTTGTTTCAAATTCTAGTAATCCTTCTGGGACCTTGTATAAGCCATGAGCTTAGAAAATTTCAACTCATTGTCGATATTAACTCCTAAATCTTTTTCCATTGTCGACTTCGACATCATCACTCTGTCGTTGCAACCGTGTCTTCTCATACTGTAATCTTGCTGTTCATTATTCTTGCCAAGGTGGATTACTTTACATTTGTTAGCGTTAAAACGCAGCTGCCACTCATCAGACCAGTCAACCAGCCTGTCAAGTTCACCTTGTAACTGTACTTTTTGCGATGTATTCTTCACTGTATTATAAGTTTTTGTGTCGTCAGTATACATCGAGCACACGCTAGACACAGCTTCTGGCAGATCGTTTATAAACTCAACGAATAAAACAGGCCCGAGAACGCTTCCATGTGGCACGCCGCTGCGCACTGGAGCCCAGTCTGATACGGACTCATTAATACTGACACGTTGGCGTCTCCCTACTAGAAAATCTTTGATCCATTTGAGTACATTGCTGTCAATTCCCAAAGACTGCAATTTCCGCAACAGCCGCTCATCTGGGACACTGTCAAATGCCTTGGCAAAATCGAGGTACACTGCATCTACTGGCTCCCTTTCGTCCAGCAGGCGGGTCCATTCGTTCAGATAGACAAGAGGTTAGGGGTGCAGGATCTCCCGGCAATAAAGCCATTTCGACAGTCTGATAGGAGATCATTAGCAGTCAAATGATCTATCAATCGATCCCTCATCACAGATTCCATTACCTTGCAAACGACACTTGTCAAACTGACAGGGCGATAGTTGCCCGAGCAGCTTTTGTCACTTTTTTGAATAATGGTGTCACTTGAGCTTCTTTCCAGTCAGCCGGCAAGATCCCTTCGTTTAAAGTTTTTCGAAAAAATTACGTCAAAGGGCCGGCTAGGACAGTTGCTAACTGAGTAATCTGTGTTGGAAGCCGTCTGGCCCACATGACTTGTTTGGATTTACAGCGATAAGGCTCTTGAGAACCTCTTCTTCTTGCATTTCAAAACTTGTTAATTTAGAGCCGACTGGGCGCTCCTCAATAGCTGGAATACTGTTCAAGTCCTCTTCAGTGAATACGCTACTGAAAAACTTACTAAGAACGTTAGCTTCGCCCTCATCCGTGGATATCTTTCGTTGATCTACTTTCAAATCAGAAATACCGTCCTTCATCTTGCACTTCGAGCTAGGGTACAAAAAGAAGGCTTTCGGGTACTTTTTGCATTTTTAGCAATATTTTTTGCGAGGATTTTTACTGCGGTGCGACAGCTTTCTTTAGCTTGATTTCGAGCTCTTGCGTATAGGTCATAGTCAGCATCGCTACGAGTCTGTAAATAACGCTGGTAGGCTTCCTTCTTCGTTTTCAGCTTATATATAGCTAGCACTAAAATACGGTGCTGGAACTAACTTAACTTGGTAAATTAAGTTAAATTAAATTTAAATTATGTAGGAACTAACTTTGCTTGTACCAAAACCTTTGCTTTGAAGTCCTATACTCTATGACTGGACGCGAGTCGTGAAACTCTGACAATAAAATTCTTGGGTCTCGGACAGGCTGATAGAGAATTACGTATGGTGACATGATGCCACCTCATCATGTCACTCATCACTAAATGATATCTCATCACTAAATGCCTCCCTGTTTTCGTCTTACTATGCCCCAATAGCAAGCGATCGTTGAATTTCTACTGAAATTTTCGATGATTTCCTGCCTCAATCTATCGGTCGGGTGTTTAATTCAAAGTCATCCTGCTTCAGCGCATGAAATCGATGTATTGTTCTATGTTCTGCAATAACTTCTGTATGATCCGACAATTTGGCGGCCGCTTTGGAGCCAAATTTAATTCCATTCTGATTGAATTTTTCAGTGACTTATGAGTCCGACACTCATCATTGTAATTAAGCATAATTAACTGAACCTCTCAATCTTATTGCGTTGCTATTCGCGTTACCTTACCGATTTATCTATACTCGTATCTCTCTCAGTTAAAATAAGCTGCTATGGCAAGTTATCCGCGCCTAATCCCATTAATAAGTAATGGGATTGGACGACGTAATAAACCACCGACAAAAATGAGCTGCGTTTTTTTCACTTCTCATTCCTTAGGCCAGTTTCTTTAAAAAATCTATTGAGGTCGCAGCTATTTTGCATCAATACACTGATACACTTAATTCTTCATTGGCGACACTTCTATTCTGATAAAAAGTACGCTCTGGTCTTTAATCACACCTGTATAATGAAGAACTTCTGCCTAACAACACTAGTAATCATAATTATAAACTTCAATGGCTACTATAATAGTTTTTGAATATTGAACTCTGAGGTTTTTATAGGTATTTGTGGCTCTTCCGCCGGAAACCGGTTCGTTGATCTGTAATGCAGTTTTGGCGCCGAAATTTGAGTGAAGTGTCGGGCGTTGAAGCCGCCGAAGGGTAAAGTTTGCGCTCTATTCCTAATTGCACATTATCATAACTTGCTAACATTTGATCTTGAGTCCTCATATAAAAGAATAATAATTAAAATGCCGGCAGATATGTCATCCCGTGTTCAAAACATCAAGATCGAAGATAAGGAAAACATGGTAAGTTACGCGATTACGTAACGAAAGTACGAAACGCGTCTCTGACAATTATAATTCTTCACATTATTATTGTAATATAAACATCAATCTTTTGTGATGCAGTAAATTTTATTTCGTATAAAGTTGTACATTCTTTGCACAATAGAGTATAGGCTACCTACCAGTGGTTAATTTTACAACATGAAGCAGAAGTTTTCTAAAATCATTACTTGAAACAATTGTTCAACAGGTGATTTTGAAAATTGCCTTTATAAATAGATAATTTTTCATATTTTTCATAGTAAAAATTGGTGAAAGGCTATTGGAATGGCTTAGGCTATGGGTAGAATTGGCCCATTTTGCAGGCTGTTTTGTCCAATTCACAGGTGGCTTCTTCTTAGCCTAATTTCCACTTGAAATGAGCAAGTGGCAAAGTGAACTTGTCATTTTTTAGTTTTTAAATCCTATATATAAGCACTGTAAAGCACACCAGTTGAGTTTTATGGATACAAATTCTGGGAAATTAGGCAGAAGCTTCTCAAGACCAACATGACCCTGAGGAAAAATTTTCTGTGCTTGTGGCCTCGTGGGAAATTTAATTTGACCCATGGCTAATTTTTAAATTAGAAAATAGAAAAATTATAATTTTTGCTTGTAATCTACAAAAGTCAAAAAATATTATTGCCAGCAGTTTTTGGGAAATTATACCCTGCCACTTGCCAGTGTTAGTTAGCCTACAGATTGGGTTTCTTCGGAGGTGTTTCTATATTGAATCCTGATTATCCTTCCTGGTTCAAGGAAATCTTAGGTATAGTACCAATCTTGCTCAAACCAAAATTATTAGTCAAGTTATCAGAAAGGAATATACAGCCTCAACAGTTTTGATTCAACATGATTAGTGACTCAGGGTAGAATTTTGGGAATATGGGTTCATTTACTAAAGATTGGTTTAGCCTAGAACTTAGAAGCATGATCAGTTACAAAATATTAGCCAAATAGGATGTAAATTTAATTACACATTTTTAGATCATATGAAAATGTGCACATGGTCATATATTACCCCTCCGGCCCTCCCAAATTCTACCCTGCCTGTCAACACTTTAATGAGGACCAAAAACATAGTTTGAACGTATTTTTCAAGTATCCGATAATTGTTAGTACTTACGGGCACAATAGCCACTTTGATTAATAGGTTTGAGGTTCTGGCAATTTACTTGATTTTCTTGATGTACACAAGATTGTTCATCTGAGTAGCAGAGGACGGGAAGGAAGCACGCTGCCCATAGGGCATGAGCTTTTTGACATATTAAAGTTTTATATTCAATAAAGTTTCCCTGTTTTATTAAAAAAATTTAGCATTCTCATATCCCTCCCTTCCTCTCTAAATTGGCAATTACTTGCCTTAGGAAGCATATATTTTTGAAGGGTCATTCCTATCTGAGGAAGCTGATTGTAATAAATATTGTAATAAATATTTATGTTCTGAGCCAAAACTGAGCTTCCTTGTCATTCTTAGAGCAGCTGAATTTTTGCTGGATGAATTATCGGCTATATAATTATTAGTTATACTTTATGATTGCTCTGCAATATTTCAAATGCTAAAAGAATATGCAACTCTGAAGATGCAATATTTTAGCTGGAAGTTTTACTTTTCCTATTTAAGCATAACCTGTACATTTAGAAGTAAGGAACAATGTAGGACAGGGATTCATTTTCTTGCTTAGATTAAAAAAATAGCATAACATGTGTTGAGGAGGCCAAATTCACAAGCTTGAAGACACTTTAGGAATGTGGTGCATGATGGTTACCATTTAAATGGTAACGTAACATTGAAATTTATGTTCCTACCTTCCTGGAGAGTGACATATGGCAGTAGAGGGTTAAGTCCAGTTCATGCTCCTTATCACAGTTATATTATATATATATATTATTATTATATATAATATTCCATATACTATATTCATTCATTCATCCATGCATTCATTATATTCATTCCATTATATATATATTGTTCAATATTGATCATAATATGAGCAGCCTTCCATTATCCTCACTCAATTAGGGTTGTTGCCAAATCAAATGCAGCTGGTAACCCAGTTACCTCATCTGCAATGCAAATAATTTACTCAGTTATACTTAGTTCTATATCCATGTAAGAATGATGTAGACTTTTCAATTCTACCCAATTTTGAGCTTATATTTATATACCATTTCATCATTAAACTGATGATGCTATAATTTTGTGATAAATATTTATATTTTAATATATTTGATAAATTGCAATTAACACTCATTTCCAGCTCCAGGGCTCTCCTACAAAGGTGCTGAAGCAACATAACCCGTCTATTAAAGAGCAGCTGCCCTCACCCTCCCTGAAGAAGAGTGTGCAAGATGATGATGTGAGTACGGCTTCAATTGTTGTCTTAGGTTCTCAATGTGGTGCAGCAAAGGTGGTCTGAATGTGGTCCAGCAAACGGGGTCTCAATGTGGTCCAGCAAAAGTGGTCTGAATGTGGTCCAGTAAAGGTGGTCTGAATGTGGTGCAGTAAAGGTGGTCTGAATGTGGTCCAGTAAAGGTGGTCTGAATGTGGTGCAGCAAAGGTGGTCTTAAAGGTGGTCTGAATGTGGTCCAGCATAGGTGGTCTGAATGTGGTCCAGCAAGGGTGGTCTGAATGTGGTCCAGCATAGGTGGTCTGAATGTGGTCCAGCAAAGGGGGTCTGAATGTGGTCCAGCAAAAGCTGAGTATTTGCTAACTTTGTTTCCAGAGATGTCTGTGGTAACAAAATATTTATGTGCCAGATTTTTTGGATTTAGAAAGACAAGGATGGTGACAGTTCATTGTGATCAATATGTTTTTTTTTTTGCAATAGCAGATATTTATTAATATCAAAAAAGTCTATCACAGTTTTTGTAAAATCAAGACTACTTGAAAATTATAAAATGTATTTTATTTTATACCTCAATGTACTCATTGCTGATGTTACATTTCAGTTTTACACACTGTGGTGAATAAGAGATTTTTTAGAAAAAAAAAAACAGTTTATTTTTAATTACCAGATCTAGTTCAATATTTGTTCAATATCTATATACTTATACAATAATGTTGGTATCCATGATGCTATAATGTCAACTCAAAGGACTAAAAATTAAAGAGTCCCGAAAATTTTCTTCTTTGCTCCAGTCTGTGATTCTTGCTGTCCAGCATATTGGCAAAGCAGAATTTTTTTTAAACTTTTCCTCGCATTCATTCTTGAGTTCCATGCATTTGTAGACCAGGGGCCATACTTTCAAAACTCGCTTAGTGAACGTAAGTACCTACGCTCTATTTTCTTATCTATGATTGGTGGATTTTGCTTGAAAGGCCGTCAATGATTGGCTGATGAACTTACGATCTCTTAACTTTTTTTGAAAGTAAGGACCCAGTAAAGTATCTATCAAAGATATCAGTATTATTAAACGTGCAATCTTAACTTGAATCTTTACTAGATGACGATGTTAAAAGTGAACTGATTCGGACAATTCTCCGCTCTGCCGCACTATGATAATAAATCCTATAATTCCATACTGGTTGCAGGTGATGTCCGTGGACAAGGAGACGGAGCCGCTGCTGCGGGAGAACCCCCACCGGTTTGTTATTCTACCAATCCAGTACCCCGAGATTTTCCAGATGTATAAGAAAGCCGTGGCATCCTTCTGGACAGTTGAGGAGGTTGACTTGAGCAAGGTGATGATTGAGGGGCTTGGATTTTAAAAAACTTGCTGTGAAAATTGTATTACTAAAATTTTGTAATTTGTTTGGAAATTTGAAACGGTCTTTGATGTTACCTGAGTGAGCTTGGATTTAAAAAATTTTTTTTTTGTCAAAACTGCATTCACCAAATTTTGTGTGAATAATTTGTTTGGAAATTGGAAACAGTCTTTGATGTTACACAAGTGTCATTAAATGTAATAGTTTTTGAACAGCAAACAATTGATGGAATTTTTATTATTTGGGCAGGAGTAACTGAACAGTTTTTGAATGTATTTTCAGTATAAAATAATTTTGGTGCATTCACAGTTCAGCTCATGATTAACTCTTATCAAGCTTGAATGTTATTACCTTGATTTCTTTGTATGGTACCTATCTATTTTATTATTGGTTGCATTTACAGAAATCTATCATTTTATGCTAAGCTCTGAGGAAATAAAGGTCCAAATATAATATAAGTTAGGAAATTAAATTAACCTGTAGATAATTTGACTGTTTCTATATATTATTACTTCTGAGAGTAATGTTCACACTATCTACTACTATTATATATTGACAAACCAAAAATTATTTAGAATTACCAGTAGTTCATTTTTAATGTCCCCATTTACACAAGATTTAACCCAATTTCTTATGTATGAGAATAATGCTTTGCTGCTCTACTTAAAGGGCTCAAAATTGAACTGTAAGAATGGTCTGAAAAACTCTCTGTTTTGACACTATAGGGCCTGTCTCTTATACACATCTAGATGTGTATAAGAGACAGGGTGAGAACTTGGTGGAGAGGTTCTGCCAGGAGGTGCAGGTGAGAGGGTGTGGTGAGAACTTGGTGGAGAGGTTCTGCCAGGAGGTGCAGGTGAGAGGGTGTGGTGAGAACTTGGTGGAGAGGTTCTACCAGGAGGTGCAGGTGAGAGGGTGTGGTGAGAACTTGGTGGAGAGGTTCTACCAGGAGGTGCAGGTGAGAGGGTGTGGTGAGAACTTGGTGGAGAGGTTCTGCCAGGAGGTGCAGGTGAGAGGGTGTGGTGAGAACTTGGTGGAGAGGTTCTGCCAGGAGGTGCAGGTGAGAGGGTGTGATGAGAACTTGGTGGAGAGGTTCTGCCAGGAGGTGCATGTGAGAGGGTGTGGTGAGAACTTGGTGGAGAGGTTCTGCCAGGAGGTGCAGGTGAGAGGGTGTGATGAGAACTTGGTGGAGAGGTTCTGCCAGGAGGTGCAGGTGAGAGGGTGTGGTGAGAACTTGGTGAAGAGGTTCTGCCAGGAGGTGCAGTTGAGAACTTGATGGAGAGGTTCTGCCAGGAGGTGCAGTTGAGAACTCGGTGGAGAGGTTCTACTATTAGGTTCTGTTAGCAGTTCCGCACGTCCAATAGTGAATATATACGCTTTATGTTTATATTGGATTGAGTTATTGATTCAGTTAAATTGTTATTGAATTATTTGAGCTTTGCAACCATTGTGACTAAGTGACATGTTCTTGGTTGGTAGTCATTAATCTATTTCCCAATTCTGAAGAAATGAGCAAGGCATCCTCCTCTCTTTAGGTCATGGAAGCTGATTATGTAGAAGTGTTCACAAGTTTCAGGGAACTTAAAGAGGTTTGCAGGAAACACTATTTACATTTACAGTGCCTAAAGTACAGAGACTGACGATATTGTACACTTTTCAGGTGCCTGAAGCTCGCTGCTTCTACGGCTTCCAGATCGCCATGGAGAACATCCACTCTGAGATGTACAGCCTCCTGATCAACACCTACATCGCCGACACCGCCCAGCAGACGCGCCTCTTTAACGCCATCGAGACCATGCCCTGCATCAAGAAGAAGGCAGACTGGGCCCTCAGGTATGTTGGGGCCACGCCCTGCATCAAGAAGAAGGCAGACTGGGCCCTCAGGTATGTTGGGGCCATACCCTGTATCTAGAAGAGGGCAGACTGGGCCCTCAGGTAGGATGGGGCCATACCCTCATCAAGAAGAAGGCAGACTGGGCCCTCAGGTATGATGGGGCTATGCCCTGCATCAAGAAGAAGGGAGACTTGGCCCTCAGGTATGATGGGGCCATACCCTGTAGCTAAAAGGGCCCTTGCTTCCAAAGCCTTTTCCCTGAAATTTGTATATATAGGGTAGAGCCCTTCATTTAAACATGTTTGGTTAAAAATAATGCCAGTTTTATTGAGGACTTCTTTTGAGTTTAATCTCTCAAGCTTTCTGATTTGGACAAATTTTAAAATTGATTTTAATTTTTTGGACCTTTCATTTGGACAAATTTTAAGACACATTGACCCTATTACTGTACCTCTTATCAGAAAGCTTGAGAGATTAAACTCAAAAGAAGTCCTCAATGAAACTGGCATTATTTTTAACCAAAGTCTTTATCCTAAATTTGGATACTCAGACCTGGAAGACGTTGACTACTCTGAGACCGTAGACTGATCATGAGGAAATATATACCCTGAGTGCTATAGGGCACTGAACTCACAATGATGATATTCAAAAATAATATTCAGACCCTGACTGCATACACCTGACCTGACTGGCAGACCTGAAAATTTCCCCGGATAACAATTACCCAGGGCTTGTTTAGGGACGCTAACCCAAGGCCATGCTGATGTACCACCTTTTGACAGCAACCAAGCGCCACCAACCAGCATTAAGAAAACCAGCATTTCTCTTTGAGAAATGTACTGAGGTTTCCAAGACTTGAACCCACCATTAGCTCCTCTCATCTTGATGACGATACCAGTGCACAGACAGTGACACTATAAACACTGCTTAGATGGCTATTCACTGCGCATATAGCAACCAATGTGTAGCTTCTCAAGTTCATTAGGATGCCTAAGAATTACTTGTAGTCAAATTTCTGACAGCTAATACACGTCTGCATCCTTTTAGTGGCAATGGTAGCTTAGTACCTTGACAACTCCTCCCTGTTTTCCCTGACTTCCTGCAACACAAATCTTTTCAGAACTGGGTTTACTATTGGTAAGGTAATATTGTAGCGTGAGGAAATATGTGGCATTACCATGTGGGTTATGAGTGTGAATGTCAATGAATTTTTGAATGAATGTATTATTGTTGATGTCAGCATATGTATGATTGGTTATTGACAAGTTATCAATGGATAGAAGTATAATGTAGTGCAATTAGGAAGTCGTCTGTGTTGTTTATCATGTTATAAAGAATTTTGAAATTACTGTTTAAAATACAGACCTTTCATTCAATTTTTAATAGAACACAATTATTTGTCATCATGCACAATCATAAGTCAAATAATGATACCCTCACTAACTGTCCATTGTCCCCCAGGTGGATTAGCCACAAGTCGGCCAGTTACGCGGAGAGAATAGTGGCGTTTGCCGCCGTGGAGGGGATTTTCTTCTCGGGTTCTTTTGCCTCAATTTTCTGGCTGAAGAAGCGAGGCCTCATGCCGGGTCTGACTTTTAGCAACGAGCTCATCTCCCGTGACGAGGGCCTGCACACTGACTTTGCCTGCCTCATGTACAAACTGCTGGTCAACAAGCCGTCTGAGGACAGGTGAGGGCGGTCAATAAGCATTCTTTCTGTTCACTATCCCCTATCCAGAGCCCTAACATGTGTTGTGGTTAGCTACTTATTGATTAACTTTTCATGCCATTCCTTTTGATCAATGTACTACAATCTGGTGATTCTGGTCATTGTCATCCACGCTGTTTATTTGTCTGCTATTATAGGTATCTTTAATAGAAGTGTCGTGTTGGTGTGTGGTGTGGTTGGCTTCTTTTCTTTTGCTTACTTTTGATTCCTTGTTAATCAACATAATAGAATTTATTCACCTTCATTTGTGCTGGTTATTTGTTTGATCTATATATTTAATCTAACATTGCTTTCGTGTTGAGTAAAATTTAACACATTTACTATGTTAAGTAAAAGCAGTTGAATATGGATCCCGCTCCTGACATGCCATGTCTTGCAGGGTGGTGAGCATCATCCGGGAGGCCGTGGCCATCGAGCAGGAGTTCCTGACGGAGGCGCTGCCCTGTGCCCTCATTGGCATGAACTGCGACCTCATGAAGCAATACATAGAGTTTGTGGCAGACCATCTGCTTGTTGGTGGGTTACTATTATTATTATTGTACAAAGTTAACAATCTTAGTAATTACTTATGCTAGTCACAACTTGGTGGCAACCTTCTCCTGGTGGGTGATGAAAATAATTATGGTGGTCGTATAGTTGTAGCTGATAACGTCATGCTTACTTGTTTTCTGATCTAGAGCGGTTCAAAGCTGTAGGACCAACCATGATCAAAGTAAGTAGAGTAATCCCTCTTTTTTATGCTGGTTCATCTTCCCCTGATCCTACCAAAGTAAATGGTTCAGAGTAACCTATTTAGAACCCGCGTTGATATCGCGGGAAATCCTCTGCAACCAATTTGAATTCTCGGGCTGCACTTGGTACTTTGCATCTGACTCGAAAAATGCGCAAAGATTTAGGCACAAAGGGCAAATTGCTTACAACACAAGGCGGACTTTGGTAGTTTCAATCCTTATGAAGTATGTACCTATAGGATATTTATATATTTTTTATATAGCTAGAGAATATTTTTGCCCCCTACTTTGCAAGAATTTGTTCTGTTTTTACCAGCTTTTTCACCTTGAAACGCCAGAATTTAATCCTAATATTTTATATAACTTCACATTCAGCAAACGTTTCCTATTCTAAAGTACTGTATTGCTGAGTAGTTTTTTAGTTTTTTAATAAAAACATGTTCACTTATCATATACAGAAAGAATATGTCTAACTCCCTTCAGGCCTGCCACCTTATGCACTTCAATTTCTTTGCAAGATTGAGTGTTTGCAATGGTGAATGTTATAACTTATATTATAGAACTCATAACTTATGTTTTATGCCTTTCAGAGCTGAAGTGCAAGAAGATCTATAGGGTGGAAAATCCATTTGACTTCATGGAGATGATCTCCATGCCTGGCAAGACAAACTTCTTCGAGCGCAGGGTGGGGGAGTACCAGAAGTGTGGCGTCATGAGCTCCCCTCAGGACAGAACCTTCACCCTCGACGCTGACTTCTGATCAGGACAGAACCTTCATCCTCGACGCTGACTTCTGATCAGGACAGTTCCTTCTCCCTCGACACAGTCTTCTGATCAGAACAGAACCTTCACCCTCGATGCAGACTTCTGACGTACTCAGCTCCTTTGACCTCTTCTTTAGTTGCACCGCAGTGCCTTAGTTCATCACGTTTCGTGAGCTATTTGTGTTCAGAGTTTTCATAATTGTGTTCTAGTATTCGTATTGAGTGGTTGGTGGCTTTACTCAACTATCTGAAGCGCTTGTAAACCTATATACCACTGCTACCACTTGCACAAGTACTGAATATTGGCCACTTAATCTAGTGGAATGGCGATGGCCATTCAATGCTTAATAATTAACATGAAAGATGAAAGTAAAGGGACCATTTATTGAGTGATCTCGTTTGGGACTTGGAATCTCGTTTAAGGAGCTGATTTCAGTATCACTAATTGTGGAATCTCGCTCAGTTCTCTGTTTCCTGTTAATTTTGTTGACTATTCTGTGATGTAGACAATCACAGTGTTGGTGTCGCTGCTTTCATGTCAGCGTGGACACCTGACATCTGCTTTCTGCTACACTTGTCTTCCACCTCCTCATTTATTCATTGCTATTAAATGAGTTTATTAATGTTTGCAAGGAATGCTTTCATTCGCGTGCTAGGCCTGATTTGAAGCGGATACATTGCAAAGCTCACAAGAAAAATTTGTTTCAATGATAAGTTGATGTTTATGTATATCTTGTATCACTTCGACGTTGGGGTGAATTGCTCTTGTCTGTTTTTCTCTTATTGACCATCACTGCTAGCTTTTTAAATAGGTACTTGATTTAATAGAATTCTCCATAAAAATCTGCTGGGATGCCCCTCCGACAGTTGCCCCGCTGCTTCTCCCCACAGACCAGTTGCCCCGCTGGGGCCCCCCACTGACGATTCATCTGGATCTGAATTTTTTTTCTCTTAATTCTTGCCGGGAACAAATTTTTTGGTCTCATTTAAGCTAATTTTCACTCTCAGTATTAAGTGTCAAATTATAACGAACGATCAAATGCATTCAGAGAAGAAAATACTATTAAGTTATCTTGGTTCCTATGCATTAGAAATAAGTGTAAATTTTAGCTTGATTGAATTTTCCGAATTCGAAGATATAATAAAATTATTTGTGTTTTAAAATTAGAGGAAAAACTGATGGTTTTGTTTGCAAATGTCGCATTTGTTCACGTATGTGCATTTAGGAAGGTAAGCCTTTCCTTGAAGTAATTATGTTTAAATGGTGATATGAAATCCTGCAATTAAAATACATTAATCACATTATTAATTTACAGCTTAGACATTGGAAAATCTATGAAAAATTTAATTAAATGAAACATTCTTAAGTTGAACCGATGGTTTAATTTTTTATACATTTTTGTCCGTGAACAAAAATAAAATTCCTTGCCAGATTAGTCCTTGTTGATCATTTCCTATCCAAGTTGTCGTGAAATGTTTATTTTATAACTTCCCTTGTAAGTAGGATAATTAAATAGTTTTTTTTCATTGGGCGGCTACGATATTACATCATGTACTCATCCAGCCGCTGCGTGCTCCCCGTATTAACATAACATTACATAACATAACATAGTGATCTCGGCTCTGAAGCGTAGGCCTGATGTGGCCTGTCGCCGATTCTTTTCCTTTTCGTGCCTTGTTCACAGAAGATCTAAACTCGTGTCATTTGACCGGATCTTTTCATGACTGACGGTAGTTTGAAATAGCTACTCGACTTCCACCGGGTTCGATATGGTGCTAGGCATTTCAAGTCTGAACATATATTTTTCCATAGCTTTATCTAGTCTGTTCTTGAAGGCGTTCATACTTGGAGCGCCAACGATGTCATCGGGGAGGCTGTTCCACATGTCGGTGATTCGAAGCGAGAAGAAATGTTGCGTAATGCGTACGATACCGTATTGGATGTGCGCAGATTGACGTGGCAGGTTCAAACGAGCTCGCAAATTATAAACAGCGCCAAAAAAATGGCTACTCGTCAGGATTACTGCGAGTTTGATCTATGAATGTTTGAAGCCAACGGAGATTTCGCCAACATCGACGCGTCCCGAGTCGCAAAAAGCAACAACATTAAATGTTATGACGATTGGTGTTTCTATAGAATTCGCCTGCGTCATGTGTCTATAGAATTGACAACCGCAGCATAGTGATGGTACTTGTCGTACCATCTCATTTATTGCTGAAAAACGTAAGGTATAATGCAAAAATGTAGATATAAGGTCTTTCCTGATGGCAGGTGTAAGTTGTACCGTCAAGTGTACTCCTCAACAGCTACTGCAATTGACTCGCCGCTAGCAATAAAAACCTCATAATACTGGTCAGAATAACAATTTGTAAGGTTCGGTTGCCATCTCATAACTAGGAAGCTTTTCCAATCACGCTGGTGTTGAAGCTCTGTTTTTTCCAACAGAATAGATTGTTTCCGTTGAAGACCGGCGACATAAGTGCTGTGGCGAAGCTAGTGGCATTGACGGTAGCTCGTTCGTTGCCCGACTTCTTCCTAGGTCCGAGTCGACACTTCAGATGCTTTCTGTTACGTGGCAAATTAAAATCTCTCCTATCAAAACATTCGGGGATGGTCCAACCAATTCTGGCACCTCCGTATATATTTTTGGATTTTTTTGACCGGCATGTGGTCGGTATAAGATGCGGAGATTGGTTATATCCCAAGTATGTATACCAGTTAAATAATAGCGCTGGGCAAGAACAGTTGGTCGTAATGTGTTCAGCGCTGTGTGAACGACAGTGTACTAGAATTTTTTGCCGCACGATACATCGTTGTTTTTTCAATTAATACACGCAATAATTACTGGGATCCAGATCATTATTTCAGAAATTCTTCCTCACCCTCGTTGTTTTCCGAGACATTTACCCCGCTTAGTCTCGAGAAGAGTCTCCAGCAACAGGTGATAGATGACTACAAAATAAATTCATACCTACATGCCAAAAACGGTACCTCGGTTACCAAGTGTACGATACTCGTCTAAATTACGACGGTCGTGGAAGTTTTTGAACATAAAGTTAGGCTTAAAACGACATCGCAACATATCTGGTGACCACAAGTGAGAAGAAGCAAACCAAAAGAAAAAATTGTATTTACTCAAAATACAATAAAAGGCAATGAAGAATTATAGGAACAATTTCGCACCTGCAACACATCCAGTAGAGGATCCATAATTCACAAAATTCATAATAAATTACATGAAAAACGCTCAACTATTTGTTCAATTATCGGCGTAGGCGCGTTGAAATAATCCATGGTATAAATTTAAAAGCAAAGTAAATTCCACAGAAATTTATATCTTTATAGAAAAAGTTTTCTATATGAATTTCTGTGAATTTTTTTTGCTTTTAAATTTTTAGTAAACTCGCACAGCAAACCGGTGACATCAATCCCATGATATAAAGAACCGGTTCATCTCCATGTGATTGAATGGATTGCAGTGCAGTTAAAGAACGAGCGACATGGTCACTATACGGCATTACAGTTACTGCATTTTATTACTTATTTGTATTTGAGAGAATTTCTTCACCAGAATACTACTTTAAATTTAAGTGATTTCCCAACCACATTGTACTAAAGTGCTTTCGATTGTAGTGTTTACTTGCATTCTACTTAAGTGCATTTAAAACGCCATTTTCTACAACGTATTTAACAGAATTCCCAGCAAAAATTCATTTCAATTCAACACCGGTAACTAAATACAATAAAATATAAATGTTCTAAATAATACCATAGCTAAATACAAAGTTTAAAATTCCCATTCATCATCACCTTCGAGTAACTCACGGAGGTAAGAACCTTCACAAACGAGGCAAGTAATTCGGACCTCAAGATTCCCCAGGTAAAAAGCACCCAGAGCTCGTTTATGAACACCAACCCAAGGTCATGCTGCAAGCACCACATTCTGAAAGCGACAAACCGGTCGCCCTTCAGCGAAACCGAAAAATGAACCAAGCTTCGAAAAGCTCGAACCCAAGGCAAGCTCTTCTCGAAGTTGCTACCCCTGAGGGCAACGCTTTACCAGAACATAGTCTAAGATAACAACAAAAGTAACATCAATAACAACAATGACGCCTAAAATGATAGATACACCGATGTGCTCCAAGCATATTTATTTCTATTGAAGTTTGCTTTGCAGGCGAGAAATGCCCGCCATTAAATCTCGTCTTGGTTGCCAAGTAAGAACTTTAACAAAAGTTTTCATTTAGGTTAATAATTGCATTTTTGAAACAAATCGAACTTGAAAAAATGAATTCCGCAAGACTGTGACGTTATCGAACGTTGTATTACGAGAGCAGTACGCTCAGTTCAGACATTGTGGAACACAGGGACGCGGAGTGACCTAGCAGGGCTGAAAAAATCTAACGGAAGTGGAAGAGAAATAAAAAGGGCAGGGAAATTTTGCTTTGGCAGTGCAGCGTCAGTACCATCACAAGCCTAATTGGGAACAATCCTCACAATCCTGTGACGACTAAGCCATCAAATGACAAACTAACTAAACGTAGTCAGAAATTTTTCCATACTTGGTTCGTGAGCAATAAAGCCATTAAGTTACAAATTAATAAAAACTCAGGAACATGGAGTCCTAACATATTTTTCCAATTACTTGGTTTGTGAGAAATAAATAAAAATCGTCATCATTTCTGCTTCGTAACCCCAGTTCTTGGCACAAGAAACTGTCACGTGCAAAGCTCTGTAGGAGTTGAGACCGGCGGTTTGCCCATTAAATATAACATCGTATTTATGTACCACTTATCCTTCATTCACAAGAACATCCTCTACCGACCTTTGCAAGATACATCTTATCTCACTTAATATGAAACATATTTCTTTCATGAACTGATAAACGCTATACAGAACACCAATTTTCAGTTAAGAGTAACTGACACAATGTAGAGGTATGAACCAAAAGACCATGAATCTTGTTAGCTGAATTTTAACCCATTTGAACATGACACAATGAACATGTTAATTGCCCAACAAATGTTCTTAACATTGATATAAATTTACTTGGGGCCCCATAAATTTACGATGGGGCCCCATCATCTTGCAATTTTTCACATAGGGGTCGGGGAACGTCGGCCTCCCCATCCTCATCCATATTAATGCAAATAAAAAACAATTTGGTTTTTTTGAAGGGGATTACACGAGAAAGATTACCTCCTCTCTAGTATGGGTATCACTGCTCTAGTTAACCTCAGTGTTTCGAACATAGCAGTCCCAGGCCACGATAGAGAGTCGCCTACAATCCCCGGCAAACAGGTTGTTCTTGCCATCAGGACTTCGGGACAGATTAGCCTTTTATATTGCGCCTGTGGTCATTCAGCAGGAATCTACAAGTCTGGTCAACCCTGATGTAATTTTCGCTTACATTTAGAACTCAAAACAGACTTTTAACTTAAAGAGAGATCTTTACATTTGTCTACTGTAATGTTAAACTCCATTGCGTCCGTTCATTAGGAATAGAACTTGACCTTAACTATGTTTTTAATTACACGTATATTAAGCCAATGTGGAGCAGACCGCGCAGTTGACTTGTCAACGTAAACTCGTAATAATAAATACAAGAAGATGCTCAGACCTTCTGAAGAACTTCGTCCTAAGAGGCCCTGGTGCATACTTAACCTATGAACAAACGATGTACACATTGTACAGTTTGCCGCTGCTGATGAGAAAGCAAGTGCTATACCAATTTTAACCTGACCAAGGTTTGATGTAGGTTCAGACGGCAACTCAATCTCCTATTTTCAAATCAAAGTTCAATTTCACGGTAGTATTCATAAAAAGAACGTAATGAAGCAAGTGAATATCAAGCGTCAACAATAACCTTGACGTAACCAAGATTAAATAAAATTTAGATGCTTTCTCGAAGCAACGCCAAGGGCTTCTAGGATGTTTCTATCTCCCAAGTACCACCTTTAAGCAATACAATACTACACACCAATTATACATACACGTCATTACGGTCCATACGTTAGCCGAGCCAACTCAGATGCACGACCAAAACGGCCTAGCAAACTCAAATGTAGACTTACAGCGGCTTAGCCGATTCAGCCCATAGCGGCCTAGCCGACTCTGATGTAGCCCTATAACAACCTAGCTGACTCGGGTGTAGGCCTATTGCAATCTAGCCGACTCAGGCATATGCCTATAGCGGCCTATCCGACCCTAATGTAGGTTCTCTCGCCGAAGAAGTTCTTGAGTATGAGGACCTGCACGAGGGCTATGCCGACGATGGCTATGGACTCGCCGACGGCCCAGTAGAGGACGGTCTCGTTGATCTCTTCAGCGCGCTTGCGGCCCTTCGCCTCCTGAAGGCGGTGGTGTGTCTGGTAGTCGATCACCAGGTTAAGGTTCTCGTGAATCTTCACGGATGATGATTCCATCTGAAATGCATTGGCATGTCTTAGGGAGTATAGAAAGGAAATTGACATGAAATTTTAGCATTCAGAGGTGCAAGGTTTGCCAGAGAAAATTGCTTTGCTTTATCAGCTAAACAGGAAGAGGTGAGAGTTAGAAACTGGAAGGCAGGAAAAGGAACCAATATCCCTACTGATATTAAAAAAGTATTGTGGAAAAGATTGTCGGGTCAGATACAGAGGTCATCACGGGCGAAGTTGCTGGGTCATGCTTCCGATCTCTGCCGCGTCTACGTCGTGGGGTACCCTGGCCCGCGCTTTAGGCCGGGTTCGTCCGGCTCAGCACGTGGGACAGGTCCAACAACAGAGTTTGAGTTGCCCACCGAATAGGGGCCCCATCCTCTCGCACTTTTTCACATAGAGGTCGGGGAACGTCGGCCTCCCCATCTCCTACCCACATCTTTGGCCGCCTATCCTCCTTGGGCCACCCAATGCCCTGCCCTCTTCTTTTCTTTCTGCTTGCTTTTCTCCTCCTAACCCATGACATTCATCCCAACCCTGGCCCGCACCTTTGCTCAGTCTGCGCCCTCCCGGCAACACGTGACGATTGTACTCGTTCCTGTGCTCCAGGTGCAACGCCTGGACCCACAAGCAGTGCTCCGGGCTGCACTCCGTCCATCACTACTCTGCCCTACGTGCAGCCGGTCTGACTTGATCCCTACCAGACCCCGCTCTCCTTTTCCCCCTCACCTCTGCCCTCAGTTCTACTGCAACGGGACTCAATCGAGTGCAGTCGAACTATCTGAACTCCTCGTCCAGAACGATGTTGCGATTGCCTGCCTCCAGGAGACGAAGCTATCGGTCGCCTCCCGCCCCCCGTTTTTCCCGGATACGCGATTGAGCGCCGGGACGACCCCGGAGATCATAGCGGTGGTCTCCTTATCCTGATCCGCCGCGATGCCCCGTACTCAGGACGTGACATCTCTCCCCTCCAGGGCCGCGATACCACAATGGAGGCCATAGCAATCACCACTCCTTTAAATGGCTGCCCCCTCTGTATAATTAACGTATTCATTTCACAGGCCTCCTCCTGCCCACCAGGATTTTTTACAGATCTCTGGGATATGGTGACCATCACAGGCAACTGCCTCATCTTGGGCGACTTAACGCCCATCATCCCTCAGGGTTTAACGCCAAGACCAGAGAGCTGCAGCGAGATGGATCACAATGAATGATCTCATCTCTAGCTCTCCCTTTGCCTTCCTCAACGAAGAATCGCCGACCCGCCTTCCATTCCGCCATGGCCCGCCCTCTTCACCAGATCTGGCCATCATTAATGTACATCTACTCCTTAACACCGCCTAGGTTCCTCAAGTCACCCCGAACTCCGGCCACTTACCCATTTTGATCCATCTACCTTCTGCCATCAATTCCCCTGCTCTCGGTTCTCCCGCTCATATGTCAACTTCAAGAAACTGACTGGCCCGCCTTCACGGCCGCGGTCTAGGCAGCGCTCGAGACGGTCCCTCCCCCCATATCATTGAGATGAGTTGACCCTGATAAGCATCCTGGGTGCTGCGGCCAAACAGCACATCCCTGCCGGATACCGTAAAGACTTCACCCCTCTGACAACCCTGACATCCGGTTGCTAATCGAGCAACGCTGCATCTGGGCATGCAACCCCAACGATCCCAGGCTTCTAGATCACAACTTGGAAATCTCTATTTTTATGCAGGCCCACGCCAGGTATACCTGGCACGCCAGGTATACCTAGCGTCGTGCGACTGACGCACCTATCAGTCGAAACACTGGAACCTCCTCCGATCCTTGGCCGGAAAGCGCCACCGTCCGCCCTCCAATCAACCAATCCAATTTGGTCACATCTCCCAGTGCAATATATCCACTGCCTTCTGCTAACTCTACACTTCCATTGTTCTTCACACTCGAAGTCCCTCCACCTGCCACCAAACAACCTGGTCCGCTGGTGGTGCTGATACCTGAGAGGCAGGCGGGCTTCCTGTCTCTTATCTCAGAACGCAATCTCCCTTCAGAACAATTCACTCAGGAGTACCTCAAGGCATGGTCATCTCCCCGCCCTATTCAACCTCTTCATCTCAGACATTCCAATACCAGTTCCAATATTGCCTCATATGCGGATGACCTCACGATCTTTGTGTCTTCCCCGAGGCTTGATGCTGCGGATGCTGACCTCGCTGGACTTCTATGGGGCCTCTCTGACTGATCTGCCTCCAAGAAACTGACCGTGGCACCAAGCAAATCATCTGTCACACTCTTTACCCCGGACACCCATCAATCCTACCTACACCCTTCCGCCACTATCTGCAACGGCAGTTGTTTTAAACTATACAAAACGCTGCACCGAGACTAGCCACCGGCTGCCTCAAAATGGCCTCGATCGCCTATCTTCACCAGGAGACCGGCGTCCTTCCCTTATCTGTTCACCTGGACCTGGCTTGTGCCCAGTTCCTTGCCATCGCCCTCCCATACCTCATTCCACATCGTTTCTGCTCCCCTAGGGGACCGCCCCATGAAAGCCTCCATCCTGACGAGGTTCGGCCACCTTGTTGCACCATTTCTGGCAAAGGGTGTCTTGCCCGCCGGTACCTATGGAGAGACCAAGAGCTCCCTCCACAGGGAGATCGCCTCCTGCGTAACGGCGACTGACGTTATCAACGCTGTCCTCGCAGCCCCACCACCACTGATTGCATCAGTGGAGGCCTCGCTTCCTCGCCCCCTACCGCTCGGAGCTATCCCAGCTCCGCTCGGGAGTCGGGATACTGCGGCACCCTTGCGTCCTACTCCTCTAGGCTCGGACGCTCCCCTAGTGCCGCCTGCCCGGAAAGAGGGGATCCCCTCCAGTCCGTCCAGCATCTGTTTGCCTGCCCCGCCTTCCCCACGTCCCTCAGCGTCCCCCTCTTCTGGTACCTTCCCCCCTATCACCACCTGAGCCTCCCTCCCAGCGAGCGTGAAGGTTGCAACAAACAACAACAACAACGGCAGTATCCCTCTAGATAAAACCCCCAAAATCCTAGGAATCACCTGGGACATGCACTACACGTTTTCACCACACGTCAGAGCCATAGCCACTAAAGCAAGGAATCTTATAAGCACTGCCTTGCCCTAAATGGAGTTTTTCCAAGGAGGAGCTATCGGATTTATCATCTATCTGTTGTTTCTCATCGCCGCTTGTCGGACAATCCCGTGCCCAATCCTCAATTATGCTGCTCCCATCTGTTACCCTGTTGCCTCACACACTGCAAGAGCAAGCTTCCAAAACACAGCTTTCCGATTGGCCACCAGCTGCCTCAAGATGGCCCCACCCCCAATCGCTTATCTCCACGAGACTGGCGTCCTTCCCTTATCTTATCACCTGCACCTGGCTTGCACTCAGTTCCTTGCCAGCGCCCTCCAGCCTACCCACACTTCAATCCACATTGTCTCTGCTCCCCTCAGGGTCCGTCCCATGAAAGCCTCCCTTACATCAAGGTTCAGCCACCTTGTTGCGTCCTTCCTAAAGGCATTATACCTGCATCCGGCTATGGAGAGGCTAAGCGCTCACTAGGCTGGGAGATTGCCTTCAGCATCAAGGCGGCCAGCAAGAAACCCATTTTGTGACCCCACCCTAACCGATTGCGCTGGAAGGGGCCTCGCCCCTATCAATCGCCGATTTCCCAGCTCCGTTCGGGCTACAGCAGTTCTCTGGCGTCCAACATTTTTAGAGTCGGACACTACCCCAGTCCTGCCCCGAGAGTGGGGCCTCCTGCAACCATCCAGTATCTCTTCATCTGCCCCTTCTTCCCCACGTCCCTCAGTGGGACAATCCAATAGAGGCGGCAGCGTTCCTGACCACACTCCCTGCCTTCGTCCATCTCCCTCTCTCCCACAGTCTCTTCCTTGGCCACCAGCAAAACCTACACCCGTGCGAGCGTGACAATTTTGCCAAAAACATGTTATGGATCATATACATAGGTCTTTTCTTAGGTCAGGTACCTGGGTCATGGCAGTGAGGTGGTCTGATACGCCAGGGAGGGGCTTCTCATCGCCGACCTGCAGGTCCATATACACCAGCTTGTGGCTGAACGTTGAGAACTCGTTGCTGAAGCACACCTGCAACACAGTCATGTTCATATAGAGCAAACTAATACAATTACTATTACTACTAATACAATATAAATGAGCGAACTAATACAATAAAAATACAATCTATAAGAAATATTACCCAGTGTTTCCCCTATTACCAAGTGTCAACTTGCTAGTTTTAAACAGCTTGTTTCAATTGGACAGTTAGAAACAAACTGGTTCTAAACAACAATGATCAAATAACTAGTTTCAATATTATATATACTTTTCAATTGACTCCTTCAAGCTAGGTCATTTTAATTATATTTTAATTTTATGTACTTAATTATTTAAGATAATCTAGTTGCAAATTACTAATTTCAATAAACTAGCCTTAACATAGGGTAGGTTCTTTTGAATATCTGAAACACAACAGCATTGGTAGAATTGTTTCTAAATTTTCAAAGATCAATCAGAAAAAATGGCAGCAAATTCCTTGTAAAACAAATCAGCTCAAGGTCACATGAATCTTTTCAGATTGATCCTTGGAAGCGGTAGGATGATGTAGGATGATCCCAGATGTAGGGCGGGAGGGTAGCCTCCAATGTTACTGGAATTCAGCAATATCATTGCTGTCCACATTTTTCAAAGCTGTGTAGTATTCAAATATTGAATCAAGATATTCATACATAAAACTTTTAACCCTGAACTGCCTGACATGAGTAACCAGAGAAATATTGTAACAAGCCTATTTCCCAAAAAGGATACGTTCTAGTGAGCGCAAAATGACTTGCACTGATGGTTGCCGCCACGTACGACAACTTTAAAATGTTCTCTGTTGCAATCAAACATCCTCAGGTTGCTATACTCAAAAGTTTCCTATAATTAAGGTTGAAAGTTATGTTCCAGGAGAGTGACATATGGCGCTAGAGGAATAAGATACTAACATTTCATTGTTATATGATAGGTATGGTAGCACACACCTGGTAAGTGCCAGAGGTGCGAGCCTTGAACTGGAACTGGCCGTACTGCTGCTTGACTTCTTTGTACAAGACCTCCCGACCTGGCCCCTCAAGCTCCACGTCTACGTCATAGTGGCCGCCTGTCACAACCTGCACATACATTTTGTCGGTAACAAAATGCTACACAAAATTTCATTGCAATAACACATGGTTTTACACAAGAGCTCTCATTTCTACACCATTAAATGCTCATATTGCAGCTATTTCAAGGGAGTATTTCAAGGACCAATGAAAATTTTAGCAGGAACAGACACAAAACATTTTTAATTTCTGAACAGAGGGTAGTGTAAAAATGGCTGAATAGATAGATACAAACAACTATATTACCTTATACAGGGTGAACCAGAATTAACTGACCCTTTTAATTTGTTAATAAAGAAAAAACTAAGAACGTTATGAAGTTGAAACTTGTTTTATTTAAAAGAAGAACATTTTTATGGTAATATTGTATCCTATTTAAAATATTGTCTCCTACTACAATATTTTATTATTGTATTAGTTAAAATATTGTATGTAATATTGTATCCTAGTTAGTTATTGTATCCTAAAAACTAGGATACAATATTACCATAAAAATGTTCTGCTTTTAAATAAAACAAGTTTCAACTTCATAACGTTCTTAGTTTTTTATTTATTAACAAATTAAAAGGGTCAGTTAATTCTGGTTCACCCTGTAGAAAGCATTAGAGACTTCATACAGAAGCTAACAGTACACACTCACCTGGAACTCAAGGGTTGCATCAACGCCTTCACTGATGTCCTCATGGAAACATTCCTTGGCATTGTCTGGCAGTTCAAAGGTTAGCTCAACACTACAACAAACATCTAATATTAACAACAAAATGATAAGCTGTAAACATAACCAACTTCTGCTTGCCCAGGCCATACTGAACTAACACGTCTGTTGGTGCAGTCAATTCTCTTCAGCTAATATTATTAAAGTACATTAATCTCACTATAATGAGTTATATTTTAAACACATTTTATTAGAAGGACCATCTGCAGGCATGGGGATTTTGTATTATTCTTTTATAATAACTAGATTACCTACCAATTCAAACATTTTAGATGTAAGCCCAGGCTTTAATTACCAAAGCATTGCCAGGGCCAGCAAATGAGAAATGGTATATTTACTTATCAAAAACTTTTTCAACAATATACCTACATACTAATTATGAAGACTTAACATGCTATGCAAAATATTGTAACAAGTGTCTTTATTAATAAAATCAACCAAGGAAATTTTATCTTGTTTGTTAACCCTTCGGCTCTTTGTCTTGTACTTGTAAATTTTCAAGCCCTTTAACAGCTTGGAAATTTCCAAATATTCAATACCTATGCCATACATATCAAACCAGGCAATAATAGAGAAATGTTTCACTGGGTACTGGTAACAACGGCTGCCCACCTACCCACCCAGGCTATGGCAGGTGAGCAGTTTCCAGCTTCCACAAATTTTTGAAATGCTTTTCAACCCAGAAGATTGTCTTGCAATGTTTCCAGCAGGCTGTAGATTTTATGTTTTCATCTACATTCATGGATAGCCTCAAATCTGCCATAGCTGACTACATGTGTGGGGGAGTCTATTTTGACAGCCTCAGCAAAACTACGTTTAAAGTGGACCAAACAGTGAAGAATGTCATGTCAGGACCAAACAGTGAGCAATATTTATGTGACATCCTGCCAGATTCTAATGTATTGCACTGTCTTCAGGCTAAAAGAAGCACTGATTGCAAGCTGGAGACAGTTCAGTTTACAGCTAGCATTGGAAGTACCATATGGAGCATTTTGTAAAAACAATGCTTGAAATCTGGTCTAATCATAAACTACTATCTTGGAGTTAGTTTGCCAATCTACACACTTTTAGATGTGACTTTAAATTTGGGTGGCAAGAGGCCATTGCCAAAACCAATTTTGGCCAGATGTGCACATTTTGTGAGGACAACATGGATGCTCAGCAAGACTTGGAGCACTTAACATTGATGGAGTGCTCTCTCCTAAGCAGGGTTGGCAATGATTAAATTAAAATGATTAAATCAAGTGATTAAATCACTTGATTTTTTATAAAAAATCATGATTTTTATTTTTTTCTATTTTTTTCATTTTTTCATATACGGTATTTAAATATATTGAGTGGCAGTCTTTAATTTATATTGAGGTACCGGTATTGTTATTCATGGTTTAGTATAAATGTACTATGAATGACAAATTGGTATATAAACTTGTTGCCTTTAGTGTGTATTAGGTTCCAATAAATTGAATGTTTTTGGTACAGAGGCATCAAGTGTTGCAATACATTATAGCAGCTTAGCTAATTCTTATAAGGCTATAATAGTCTTTAACTATTTGACTATTTGTTGTATATTGATTACAATATACAATTTAAATGTGTTAGCTAGCTTATACAGGGTTGGGCAGAACTGATTGGACATTTTTGAGGCAAAATAAAATAGTAATGGAGGTACATAATGAATACAGTTTATTTTCCTCAAGATTAGCATAACATACCATTTAAAATACTTATGTTTTAACAACAATATCAGGAAGATGGGGTTTGTTAGCTGCATCACACTGTTGGAGTCATTCTTGGAAGTTTTCTACAGTACATTCACACGTATGGCAGGGTATGGCCATAACCTCTGCTGCAATAATCTGTTCCCATTGCAGTGGTAGGGCGAGGGCGACTTCTGAACCCCTTTCTTTTAGATGTCCCCAAAGAGAGATATCGCAAATGCTCAAATCGGGTGACCTTGCAGGCCACTGTAAATCACCCCTCAGAGTCTGGGAACATGCGTTTCAAAACATTGAGTGATATTCCGATTTCGGGCTGTGTGAGCTGTAGCCCCATCCTGCTGGAACCACACGCCTCCCAATGCTTCATTTTCAACAGTTTTCCATCCTGGGCTGCAAGAAATTTTGCAACATTGTAGCATAGTTATTGGAATTCACTGTTACGGTTCCTCCCTCCTTCTGAGAACGACTCCAACAGTGTGTTGCAGGCCATAGTGGCAAAGCAGAGAGTTTTTTAGACTCCTATAAATAGACCAATAAAGTATCCTCGATACCAGCATTATAGTGGATACTTTCCTGCGGGAAGGATCACTTTCCGTGGCAGGGCCAAGGTTGTTCAATGCCCTACCAAGGGATCTAAGAGAGGGGGAGTTCACCCTGGAGAAGTTCAAGAGACAACTAGACGTGTTCCTGAGCACAATCCCAGATCGACCTCCCCTGCAACACTACCAGCAGCGAGAAGCAAGCAACAGCGTCGTGCATCAGGTGGCCCAAATGAGGGCGGATGAACGATAATCAGAGGCGGCGATCCATCGTGGCCTGGGACTGCAATGTCCCAAACAAATACTAAGGATACTAAGGATACATAAGAAATTGGTTTAAATCTTGAGTAAATGAGGAAATTAAATATGAACTGATTCTAAAAAAGCTCTGGTTTGCCTGGCCACTATGGTTGCAGCTAATGGCCCCCATCTTCCAGATATTGTTTTCAAAACATAAATAATAGAATATTCTAAATGGTATGTTGGGGTAAACGCGGTATATTCCGACACATTAAGGACGCATCGAGAAATGAAGAACTATAAGAAAATAACCGTATGCGTTACTCGAGTACTGTTGGCTTTACGTGACTCGCAAAACACCATACTACGCGCCAGCAACGATGAAACGTCACAAAATGTTGCCATATTTATTTAAAAGCCTTTAGAATGTTCAATAGAGTTGACATCCTGCAACACAAAACAGTAACAAGTGGTTGTGTAATCAAATAATGTGTTTCTAGATTGATAATATTGAATATCAGGTTTGTACTTTTATTAAAAACCTTGTAACACAAGAATTACCTGTTGGTCCTGTCTTACCCCATGCCCGGTCCCATCTTACCCCATTGGGGCAAGATGGGACCAGCTCACTTTTTTTGATCTGTACAGAAAACTATGTTGTATGCAGAAAGTCTGAGTTGTAGCTTAGAAGCCCATTGCATAACTACACCTTGTGATAGGTTTAGGGTTTTTTATTTATTCTTGGTATAGATGCTACATGCTTGTTAGAGATTTCGGTCCTGTCTTACCCCATCTGACTATATTCACTATTTAGTAGAGCAAGGTCAACTGTCAAATTTGACACATTTTTCGATGATCTCACTGGGTAGCATGCATTGTCTCTCTTTGGATCTCAATATTTTCCCACTAGATAGCCAAGACCTAGTGTTTTGGCAGTAGTTTGACGCGCAAATGTATGACGTCACCATTTCAACCATCAACGAACGCATGGAACTAAAACAAAGCTTAATATAAGGAAAAACTAGAGAGGTGACGGAATTACCCACGATGTTGGAATATACCGCATTTACCCTATGCTAACCTCTAGGAAAATAAACTTTCTTCTTTATGTGCCTCCATTACTTTTTTTTTACCTCAAAACTGCTCAATCAGTTCTGCCCCACCCTGTACAGCAATCCCTTGATTAGCACGGTTTTGAATACCGCGGTTTTGATTAACGCGGAAAAAAAATGTGCGACCTACCCTTAATCTACGCGGTGAAAGTTTTGATTAGCGCGACTTTTTTTCACAACGCATCATTTTCCATTTTTCCCGCCTCTAGCCAGAGGTGTTACGTTCGTAAGTCGTAACAAAAGTGTTACTTTTTGCTTATTAGATCTTATGTTGTTACTTTTGTTACAACTTTTGGAAAAATTTGCCAAATGTTGTTACTTTATGAATTTTAGCCAATAATTCTTTAAATAAGGTCCCGTTCCGTAGGCACTCGTGCTGACTACAGAGTCGGTTTAACCGCGCCTTGTCTCGTTCATAACACGAATGGTCGAGTTCGGCAATGTTCGCCGGTAAGTGCGCCCGCCACCATGCCGGTGCTCTAGTTACTCGTTAGCCTTCAACTGGTCAAGATCGCTGCCATATCTACTGCTCATTTTTATCAAACTACATAATTTTCCTTGATAAATTACTATCATAATTATGGACAAAAAGGGAAGAAATCTAAATATAAGGAGAGAAAGAAATCTAATACTACTGTGCAATTGAAATTGGATTTGTTTTTCAGTAAAAAATAAATGTTACTGGTAATTCATTTGCATTTCTTTTATTTATTTCCCCTATTATTTAGAAAAAAAATAGGTATGATGAATTTTAGTGAAAAAAAAAATATTATGTAACTTTGCTACTTTTGAGGATTCATTATAATTATTCCCATATATTCTTAAGTTTGATTAGCCTCATTAGCACAGTTTTGCTTAACACGGTAAAACTTGGGGATTTATTAACCGCGTTATTTAACATAGGCTAGTGGCAAAGCAGAGAGTTTTTTAGACTCTCCCTCAAGTTCATTTTTGAGTCCTATAAGTAGACCAGTAAAGTATCATGCATAGTGGCAAAGCAGAGAGTTTTTTAGACTCTCCCTCAAGTTCATTTTTGAGTCCTATAAGTAGACCAGTAAAGTATCATGGATACCAGCCTTATCATACATAAGAAATTGATTAAATCTTGAGAAAATTAGGAAATTAAAAATGAACTGATTCTAAAAAATCTCTGGTTTGTCACTATGCGCGTTAATCAAGTGATTGCTGTATAAGTATATCGAGAGGTTGAGATTGTAGTATTGACCTTTTAGGCAATTAGAAAGATTTTCCACCCTAATTATAATACAAGTATTCTAATTAAAATATTTAATTTCAATCTTTAAATATGTGAATTTAAAACTAGAAACAAAACAATCACAATTATAAAACTATATAGGTATATCAAATAAATGAATGCAGTGAATGGAAATAAAATGTTTGAATTGTGCACATGTTTATTTCAAACAGTGTTAGCTTTTCTTATAACTCCAGTCTCGTTTCAAGTCGTTTGAGGTTTGTTTGGTTATCGTTCAGTTTATGTTTAGTATTGGTTTATTGATCTGAATTGAATGGGAACAGTGCAGTCAGTCACGTCACTACTAGTCGGTGTGTAAG